AGCATGCTTGCTAATGTAAACACACAGCATACTCCCAAAACACGCCGCGCATTGTTTCTGATACAGCACATAGCTTGACATGTCCTTTCTTAAGTGTTTACCGCTAGAACAGTGCCATTATATGTATTATATATATAACAACTTTACTCTAAGCCTCCAGCAGACATCCTGAATACACAGACACACAGCTGCGACTGTATACGGAGACGATAGGTTGGGACGTGTCACGTGTGCCGGAGAAGACGATAGGTTGGGACGTGTCACGCCTATGACGTTATAGGAGCGAAAATTCTGGATCTGCTTGTTAGCACCCCCCTTTTTTTTTTTTTTTTTTTAGATGTGGGTACGGAGGAAAAGAGAGAGGGTTTTGTTCTCTGACACTTTGTGAGTTCCCTGAAACACCGGGGACATATATTTATGTATAAAAGACATCAAAAAGTGCATTTTGCATAATAGGTCCCCTTTAAATATCACGTACAATGTGTTTTGGAGCTCCAGTCAATAAAAGTGCAAGTTTTACATAGAGATGTTGCTATGTTCCAGAAGTAAACAAAGGATTACAATGGAGGCGTTTCAAGCAGGGGGGGGGGTAGTCTGTGGCAGCTAAACTCTTTTAGCCTTTGCAGACTATTTACATGCACAAAAAACTATATAACACCCAGAAAAGTCAAAATCCCCAGAAGCCTCTTTGATAATGTGACCTGAATGCTGAGGTTGAATAATGACTTCAATCTTCACATGTATAGTAGACGTACATGTCGGTGTGGGAAATGGCTTTCAGTTTCATTTTTTACAGTCCTAAATAATTGGCATTACACAGTCATGAGCCATGTCATAACAAACAAACACAATAGCAATATAACAGTCAGCTGACAAGAACTACTGGCGGAGTTTGTGTGTAATAAAAGTCTTTGAACAGCACAGACAACACAGCCTACATTGTCAGAAAGCTTACTAACCTGAAATCACAATTCTCTCTGGGACTTGCATTGTGACACTGTGTGGGACCTCCTGAGATCCAAAATTAGGATCCTCGTGGCCGTGGTGACCCATTTTGAGCATCTCAGGGATCCGCATCCTCTGGCTGATCCCTTCGGTGTACTCCATCTCATACTGGATACGGTTCATCTCCGCAATTTCTGCCGTGGGGGAAGGGAACGCTGCTCCGTTCATTTTGCTGTGAGGAATAGGTTGTTTAGGAACACGGTGCGTTTTGAGGTCACAGAGGGAAGATGCCAACATGAGAGATCTAAGTTCTTATGGTTTAATTTTCAGTCCTGTTTGACCTGTCATGCTGCATACCTGCTGGTACATTTGATTAAACAAAAGTGAATGCACACTGATGCCAAATCTCCTTAACCCACCGTGAATATACAAAGAATACTGAATATGGCAAATGAACATAGTTGTCGATTTGGTTGTGTACTATCTGATGGATTAACATAATCTACGGTCACCCATTCATTTCCTATTGGGGTCCTTTTTGGCTTGGAACACCATGGGGGTAACAAAGTTGACTAAAATGAAATGTAAGTGGTTATCAGCAATTGTATATGGTCAAATGCCTAGTGTGGAGGATATCATAAAGGCCTTGTAGCAATCAAATGTAAGACACATTATTTATGATTGATAAAAGTACAGGAGGGTTAAGGATCTACTCAGAAAACATTGGTGCAGCTGATGAGCTGTAGGCAGGAGTTAGGGCTGGAGCATTTCTCTTGACACTCATGATAATAACTTTGCATACAGGGAAAGATGGAAGCCACAATTTGGCAGTAACCTTGACTGTATGAGATAAGAGCTGCTACAGGTCCCTTTATAGAATATATCTATGAAATGCTAACACAATGCTAATATCAAAAGGAAGCTTATAATTGGCTAATACTAGTGAGGCTAACACCATAGTTATTTAATGACCTTTTCATGCTAACGTTACCACATTCGCATTATTTAGCAGACTACTTTGTCTACCTCTGATGTTTAGTTAACTGTTATGATATCTACGTTAACAACATCTCAAAGCTTACAATAGTTTTAGTTTGACAGCTAACACACAACACATTAGCGCCATTTCAAGCTAGCGCGGTAGTTTCAGTATCTTACCGTTTGGTTGGTTGCTATGGTTAGCTTGCTATCCAAATATATTTATCAGATCTTAGAGGAAATAAAAGAACTTAAAAGTAAACCCAGAGTGGTACAGTTGAGTGTATTAGAGATGGTGTAGCTGTCAGGCATCTCCCTTATGTTGACACGAGAGGAGCCTCCTCTCTTTTTCCGCCGTCCGTCCTTCAAACAGGAAGTACCAGGAGCTCAGGAAGAAGTGACGTCGCTAAACTGAAGTCAAAAATATTAAAGTAAATACAAAAAAAAAAATGTTACCTGGTCAAATTAGATTTATTTAACCCTCCTGTTGTCTTCGGGTCAAATCTGACCGATTTACTACTTTCATCAATCCTAACTTTTTTGTTTTACATTCGATTGCATTAAGGCTTTATGATATCCTTCACAGTAGACTTTTGAACATATACAATTGCTGATCACCACTTTCATTGAATTTTGGATGATTTAGTCAACTTTGTAACACCCATGGTGTTCCCCGCCATAAAGAAAAGGAATTAGTAACCATCCGGATCAGATAAAACACACACAAACACCCACACCCACACCCACACACACACACACACACACACACACACACACACACACACACACACACACACACACACACACACACACACACACACACACACACACACACACACACACACACACACACACACACACACACACATACTCTAGATGTGTGTCCCCCGTTATGTGCCCAATCTCCCCATGTGAATCACACCTGGCACACACAAACACACACAAACACACAAACACACACACACACAGAGAACAATTTGACACATTTCCCGCTCTTATGTGCCCATCCCCCCACATGGATCACACCTGGCACAGGCAATACATGTTCAGTGTCTATTCTTTGTATATTTACTGCAGTTTTTCATGTATACCAATAGTCTGATACAATATTTACAGTTTGAAAGGGTGTTAAATGAAATTTGGTGATGATTAATGGTTTTTGTGTTAATGTAATAGCAGTTAAAACAGGACCGGTCAAATTTGACCGCGAATACCAAAGTAAGGGGGGGGGAAACGAAGACAATAGGAGGGTTAAAAAACGTATTGATTATATATGGTAAATGTAACATATATAAATGTAACATAACAAAGGTTACCCCCAAATGTCCATTTTAACTCACTAACTTTAAAGCAGGGGTGTCAAACTCAATTTCATCGCGGGCCACATTCGCATAAAGGTTGCACTCAAAGGGCCGGTTGTAACTATATAAATATATAATATATATATAAAATAATGTATTATATTACATTATTGCCTTTGAATTGGATTATTATCGGATAGGATAATAACTTAGTAATTAACTATGTCTGAAAGCAGATGTCCAGGGCAAATAATTGCAAGTCTCTTCAGTGCGCATGTCACAAAACGAGATGCATTGTGGGACATGTAGTTTATGGGCAACCTGCTTCTGTAAAGTGGCATGTAACCGTATAATAAACGTATTATATTCTTTGCAAGCTCTTGCGGGGCCACATAAAATGAAGTCGCGGGCCGGATTTGGCCCCCGGGCCTTGAGTTTGAGACCCCTGCTTTAAAGTAAGACATAACTTTGGTGCTGTACAGGAAAACATGATTTAAAAAATACGTACATATTCTTTATTAGGCCTATTTAAATGTATGTTTAACTTTTTTTTTGATTAAAGTTAAGATATTTTCAAGTGTTTTTAATTTGTGTTTCAATGAGAAATGACATATTGCTTGATTCAGACCCAATAGAATTCATACATTTTACAGTACTTTTAATATATTGTGTGTGTTTTTTTAATGTCATCTCGTTTTGATGTTTTTCTTTTTCTTCTACGTTTGCTTTGAAGAGCATCTAGTAATACAATCTGGGAAACAAACAGTATACATAAAGTTTAGTTTATCCTTTCTATATTTGAATTTTTAATCATGCATCAGTTTTTGTATTATATATATTATTAATGTAATGCAGATATTATGAATTAAGTATTTGATGTAGAATGTTGCCTACATCATTCACAATGCATCATACATTATGCATGTTGAATATTCATTGATTTCCTACATATAACAAATTGAATATAATTACACTAAAATAATATCCTTCTCTGAACTAGGATTTGTTTATTTATCAGTTTAGTACATAGTATAGTGCCCATTAGACTGCATTGAAGTGAAAGGTTTTCATTGAATTTGATGCCCTTCTCACTGTCTTGAAGGCTGTTTTGGTCAATTATCTGACAACCATGCATTGTGGGTTCATCAGCTGATGGTCATCTCTTTATTTTGCACCTTTAAAAACTCAACAGCATCACATACTTCCCACATCCATGCACAGCCCTCAGTTCTGATATTACTGATCCACAAAATCAACTTGCTTGTAACTGTTATTTAAACCTTGGTTTATAACTTAGTTTGGTTTCAAGTAAACCCCTTGCAAGGACTCCTTTTTGATTTAATCCACTCCCACTTTCAGCCACAGTATTTCTGAATTACGATACATTTAGAACACTTCTTGCTAAAATGTCTTTAGTTACTGCCACATCGTGTGTTTATTAAACAGATAGTCTAATATAAAACCATGTGCCTTAACAATATTGAATTCCCAGGTCAATGTTGGTGGGGTTTTGGAGGTGGCCCCTCAGTGACTGTGGGTGGTGCGTTCACGGAGCCATTCAAAGACTGCGATTGACAGACCAGTCGACCCTCTGCTTAACCAGTGAACGGGAAATCACGTCTGGATCTCTGGGAAATATCGATATGACACAAACATCAACTTTTGAGTCATGACTTAATGCGGACTTCCGAAAATATCAGGATGCTCTACATTTGATGGACACAGAGGCTGCGTCAACTTCACTTCTTCTCTCCGTGTCTGTAACCGGCTGACATTATGTTCTCAGATATTTTGAGTGTGATATTATTTTGCACTTTGCACTTCATTGCATCATCTTCGGAGCTGCAGCCTGGCATGTAAGTGACGCTTTTTAATATAGATAACGTTTTAATTTGCACTTGGTCTAATTTAATAATCAGATGACTAAACATTTGTTTACGTTCCATGATTTAGAGTAAGACAGATGCAAACGTTATATCCTATTTTTACACGCACAATTTGTATTTGTACGTGTTTTATTAGCTCAAAGACGGCTACAAATGTAAGTCTAGTCAGTAATTATTTTACCTTATAGTGTACTCTCTTTATTTCCCACTAGGCGTCGCTCTTTCAGGTCCCATAAGGATGCATGTGTGTTTTAGCAATGCAGTAACGTGCTTCTGCATAATAGCTTCCAATGGAATGTGATTTTTTTTTGTTGCAAAGTCCTCTACCATTTAAATGGGCTGTGCAGGACATGATGATTGGAGGAATCGTTTTCATTACAGGAGAAGCGGAATACTTCCTCTAATTAACTGCAGGCTGCTCTGTATTGAAGCCAGATGTGTTGTGCAGGAGGACACCTCTGGATAGTTTACCTGCAGACATGACAACACACACAGGCTGCTGTACACACAAGTGTTGTACATTACATTACCCCTGTGCTGTCTAACTTTATATAACCGAGTCATTCATGCAAACAATTTTGTAGAAAAATGTTTTCATTTCCTCTGGAGGTTAATTGGATGTTTGTGAGTTTAATCAAGCCCATTGCACCAAACAGGAAATGGTATAATTGCTTTACAAACAATGTGTCTGTCATAGTATGATGTGCATGCACCTAAACATGTGTAAAACATGTGCTACTTCATGTATGTTGGAATACATAATCAGCAGGCTGAGACCACCATCGGAAGGGATATAGCCCACCTCAACATACAAGTACCTCAAGTACAACAATGAAAAACAGACAGGACAGCAGAAAGTCTACATATCTTCCGTTGCAAACTGAACAAACACACCTGTTTCCCTTGTACCTTAAAAAATAAAAAGCGTCAGCAAAATGAAATGTAATTACATGCTTGCTCTTAAAAGTCATAACACTATATGATATTTGTCTTCAATTGCAAGTCTTAAAACAGTTTTAACTGCAGCTGTCCATGTTTCTCTCTCATGTTTTTGTGTGTGTTCTTCCATGCTCAGGCCGAATGTGTGTGCTGACCAGGAGATGTCTATGTTGGGGGCCCGTCAGCCTTGTGTCCAGGCTTTTACCCGCATGGTGAAAGTGTGGAAGCAGGGCTGCAACAGCCACAGATGGTGCATGGGCTATGAGAGAAGGTAAGAGCAGAAATAGTTTCCCAATTTTGTACCAGTTGAATTCCATAGAAAAGACATCTCATTCATAAGCACAGCTGCAGAAACTGCCAAGTGGTGAAGGACTGTTTAACACATTAACCGGCTGCATATAACCTGGAGTTTCTCTGGTCATCTCAGCTGGAATGAAGGGCTGGAAAAGAGAGCTTTTTGTGCCCGGTGGGAATGAAGATACTTATTTTAAAGCTTTTTCTGAATAAGAAACATTGCAGATTGAAATAAGCCTAACCGGTGTCATTATAAAAAGGCTGATAATCGTCCTATACGACGGAAAATGTATTTACATTACTACTTATTGAGATAATTTTGAGCGTTGTGAAACAGGTACCGTGTTAAACTTGAGATGTAATTATTACGTTTTTTACAGGCCACATATATATATATGGACCTATAATGTAATATTGTGACTTTAACATACATTTCTCCTCCTCAGGACAGCATACTACACAGTGTACAGGCAGGTGTACAACATGAACACGCACACAGTCTATAAGTGCTGCCCTGGCTGGAGACAGGAGGGTGAAGAGATGGGCTGTCTGCATAGTGAGTAATATCATTATACACATGCTATATTTATCACATAAGGTGCCAACACACCTTTATATAGTATATATGTATATGTGTATGTGTGTATAGAGTATGTATATTTCATATTTAGTACAACAATTCACCTGGAACAATTAAGCAGGAATGTGGCCATCCTGACTAGATCTTCAACATTTAAAAAAGTACACCCAAACAAGGTTACATTTCAAAGATTCAAAGGTTTTACTGTTATATGCACAATACAACAACACACAATTTACAACAACACATACTACACTTAGGACATAAACAAAAAAAGGTTAAAATGCAACATCTGAGAGGAGCTCAAGACACTGCAGCCAGATGCCATCTTGATGTCGCATCATGTATACACCAGCAGCCCTGTAACATGTGATTTGTGGTTTCTGCAGGGGTGTGTAGTGCAAATACATGTTTCAATGGAGGCCAGTGCGCAAAGACTGGAGACAAGATCTGTCAGTGTTCCCTGGGCTTCAAAGGGACGCGATGCCAGTATGGTGAGTTCATTCATGTTTTTAAACCGGCATACTCCACTTGCAGGTATTCATACTCACGTTTTGTGAACTGACTTAGTCCCTCATAGGACAACATGTTGTTAAAACTTTAATAGGCCACGTTCAGACCTTATGCTTTCAGTTTGAAGAGGCAGAATGAGCCTGTAGTGTAGCTGTGATTGGACAAGTCTGCTCTATGGGGGGTCTCTGGGTAGTTAAAGGTAGAAGAAGTGCTCTCTGGGTAAGGGGAATGTTTTCCTTTGAAGGCGGCTGGAGTCTGGAGTGCTGTGGCTATCCCAGCTGAGCCTCCACTCTATAAAACGCTATGCTAATGAGGGGATGCAGTTCTGGCTTCATATGGTTAGAAATAAGACAAATCCCACACATTTAAATGCAAAAAACATATTCAGAATAGGGAAGTAAGATGAGTATCGATACCATTCTCATGTTTGTAAATATGAATCCACAGCAAGCAGCAGGTTAGCTTATCTTAGCATAAAGACTGGGGGAAACAGCCAGCCAACAGTAGCAAAACCCACTTAGCAGCACCTCTAAAGCTAACCAATTAACACAGCTCGATGACAATTTGCTGTTTTACGAGGAGCTAGACTGTTTCTTGCCTGGGAGCAAGAAGTAACTTCCTGGAGTCTCCACTGGTTAACTGTTCAAGGACATAAACAAATGAGATATAACGCATTAATCAGTATGTTTAAAAGGTGGATTTTATTGCTTTTGGATAATTTCCAGTCTCTGTGCTATGCTCATTGGCTTCTAGCTTTGCTGTATAGATATCAAATGTGTATCAATGCTTTGAGCAAAGAGGGCAAATAAGCATATATTGCAAAATGTTATAGGCCGCTCATCTTTAAATATGTATAATCAGAGATTATAACCAACATAATTGTATTAAAATACCTGAAAGCTAACTTGAGAACAAAAACGACCGAATATTTCTGTGTTAAAGAATTTAAAACATGTGTTACGATACAATAAACTTCATGTGCCCGAAAGGACATTTGTTCTGGTCTCCGTACTGCAGTCCAACAGAAGATAACAATTACAAATCATATACATAGTACATGATAAAAGACATCAACATATTAACACATGATGACATACAGTATGTTCATATACACAGTTTGACCCTTTTGCACAACCCTTATGGCCAACACAATATACATATACATTACATTTGAGTGTTGAGAAGCTTTAATAGAGGTCAATAAAACAGGATGTGCTTTAATACCGCAATAAATTCAGGCTTAGGGCACAGTCAAACCACAGACTGAATAGGGTCAAACATATACGAAATCCCGTTAGGGACATCCGCCTGCCGAGGTGAACTTTTGCCTTGAAAGTCTAAAAAAAGTTGAGCATTAATCGCAAGGATGCTGCAAATTGCAAAAAAATGTTGGCCCTTCTTTCACATAGAAAGGAAGTTGAACTAAGGCACATATTGACCAGTGAGCTTGTACAAAAGCTGTTGGTCCCTCTTGTCTAGTTAGCGTCTGTCCAATCCCCTGCAGCCTGCGTCAACATGCAAACAGGAGGACGGTTGTTTGTGTTTTGGAAGAGTCCCGCTGAGACAAAATGGTGACCAGAGCATATTTGTTTCCTACCCCCCACATGCACACACACACACACATACACACACACACACACACACACACACACACACACACACACACACACACACACACACACACACACACACACACACACTCACACACACACACACACACACACACACACACACACACACACACACACACACACACACACACACACACACACACTTTCTCCTGAGAAAGGACCTGCCTGCTGGAGGTTTTCAACAGCTCTTCCTCTTGCTAAGACATTTCACAGGAATGTGTCGTTGTTTGTTGGAGGCAGTTCTCCCGTGCGTTTGTTTTGACATGGCCTCTTTGGTTTTCACACATCGGAGTGACAGATAGACAACAGATAGACATTTGATCCAATCAGAATTCCTCTAGGTTTCTTGTACATCCTGTGCTTCCAACTCATCTCACTCTTCTCCTTCTGTAAAACGGTTTTCCTTCTGTCATCCCGCACGGCTGATTTATCGTCACTCTTCTGCCAAAATCATTATACAAGGAGACAGTCAGCCAAGCTCCTGTGTTCAGCAAAGTTTACTCACTGAACCTCTGTTCAGTGCAGGGACATGAACTAATAATCCTGTGTTGTAGGTTACATTTTTTCTAATCCGGGTTTCAAGGTATTTTAGAGAGAAAATAATCGCAATGAAATTCTTATTAGTGTAGTTCAGATTAAAAAAATGACAGTGACTACAGTTATATAAACTATTGTCTAAGTTTCAGTGTTATACTGTATAAAGATATGCTTTTACTATATGCTGAGTGGCATAACGATACCTCAGTTATACAATATTGTGTAAGATTGACTCATTAACTGCTAAAACAATTACAGCAATACACAGAGAGATTTTGGCTTAGCTTTTCACCCTCTGTCTAGAACCAGAGCCCAATCTGCTCTGATTGGTTAGCCGGCCGGCTCTGCGATGTCCCGGCGATGAGCATATCACATACAATGTGTTGGAGTGCTAGCCACTAGATAGCATGGGTTTTACGTAGTGATGTCACTATGTTATGGAAATAAATAAAAGGAGTCCAATGGAGGCGTTTCAGGCAGGGTGGGAGAGGAACTACCTCTGGAGGGACATTTCAGATTTTAGCCTTTGCAGACCATTTACATGCACAAAACCCATATAACACACTACAGGAAAGCAGAAGAATGTGTCTTAGGACTCATAATAATATGTTATTTTTAAAAGGTTTAAAGGGTTTATTACTTTGGATAATGCTAAGCTATACTTAAAGTGGAAGGAACATTTACTGTATCGCATCACTGAAACAGTAAATCTAAAAATGGGCCATTCCCAAAAAGTTGATGGACAGAGCTAGCAGCAGAATCATGAAACCTGTGTGTGTGTGTGTGTGTGTGTGTGTGTGTGTGTGTGTGTGTGTGTGTGTGTGTGTGTGTGTGTGTGTGTGTGTGTGTGTGTGTGTGTGTGTGTGTGTGGATATTAGCCATGCATTGTACATTCCAGTATAACATAATTACCAACAGAGACTGCAACCGTAGCTCAACCTGGAAATATGTGTGTGCACAGTGAACCACCACCAATCCACCAGGGAGTCCTCTGTATTATTAGATTTGCATTGTGAGCGTTAACATTCCTCAGTGACAGACTTATTACAGTCCTGTATGTGAATCATGTACGATGGAGAACACGCAGATTCAGTAGAGAGGCAGGAATTCTGACCTCTGTGGATTTATGGTGGAGTAATAATTTATAGGCAACTGGATTGGAAGTTTGCTCATGAAGATCTATCAAGATGTATTCAAGATTGATTATGTTTCCTGCTATGCTTTACCATGTGTTCTTATCATAAGCGCACAGCATGTAATGCCTGTTGTTGCATTTAAGTATTTTGCATTACGGTCTGTCTTTCTGTCTGTTTTTCCTGGCAAGCCTGGGTGATAGTCTCTCTGCCAATCAACCTGTCTTTCGGTTTGTTTATTAGATGCATTTTACTGAAGCCTGAGATACTGCATGTGCATGTTTATTTATTCAAAATAATGATTTTATTGGACTGCATTCAATGATTTTGTTTAAACATTTAAGGGGGTTTTATGTAGCTAATAGTTCGGTAAAATGTGTGCTTGTGCATTTATGTGTGTGAAGTACAGTGGTGCAGAAATGAGTCCTAAAACCTTGAAATGACTTAGCATTTGCCACTTATGGTTCCTTCTTCTCGAAGTGAAGGTTTTTTTGAACGCGTTTGTGGTGTTTGAAGCATGAAATAAAGTCTGTGGTTAACACAAGCTCAAGAGATTTTGACGTTTTCTTCTATGACATAACATTTTGTCGAGGGATAAAGTGCTATGTTATACAGTCAATTTTCCATTTACCATTTAATCTAATTTCTTTCCTCTGTAGGCAGCTGTTTTCAATGAAAAAAACAAAAACTCTAAAAACCTGCTTTGGACTCAAAGAAGAAAAATAGCTAGCAAACAGCTGCTAATGCAACCCAGTCTCACAGCATTTCGTGTTATAGTCACGAAATTAATTTAATCTGATGATTCGTGTTCACCAACACGATTTTTGCATTTTTTTCGTGTCACACAGAACGATTTTAAAAGCAATGTATTTCTATTGGTAGTATATTTCGTGCCTGCACCACGTCTTTTTGTCCGGTCGGGTCTTGGAAGACCAGAAGCTGTGTTCATAAAAACATTTTCTTACTCAAAATCTTACCCCAAGCCTAACCCTAACCCTTTTATTTTAAATGGTATAATGTCTGAGTTTTGTTGCCGTCTGCGAGGAAAAGAAATGGCTCAGAGCCTCAGAATACTGACATCTGTATTTGTTTTCTCTTTTTTTTCCTTCTAATTTGTTATTATTTGGTGCAGGCACGAAACATACTACCAATAGAAATACATTGCTTCTAAAATCGTTCTGTGTCAGAATACTGAAATCTGTATTTTTTTTATCTCTTTTTCCTTCAAATGTGTTATTATTTACACGGCTTTTAAAATCGTTATGTGTGACACGAAGAAAATCGTGTTGGTGAAAACGAATCAATAGATTAATTTTGTGACTATAACACGAAATGCCGTGAGACTGTGTTGGCTAATGAGACAGTTAATGGAGACTAGAGCCAAACATAAGAGTGAATAATGGTATAACATTTGCCGGGTGGACGGAAACAAGAATCCAAATGAATATTAAAATTGCTTTGTAACTGCTGGAAGTGTAAATAAGCAATGGTTTGCTAACTAGTTTGCTAATTCAAGTAAAAGTGTATAACTTCATTGTTTTGTTTATAATTTTGTTTCGGATGCCCCCTAGTGGCCAAAAACTCAGTTACGTGAAAGAATGTATTTCTTTTTTAAACAAATATGAATGCTTGGCCTTAACAGCAACAGTTATAAGTAGAACAATCAGTGTGAGGTAAATC